GGCATGTAAAATGTCAGGTCAGAGCAATTCACCACGTATTTTTTCACTGGTTAATATACATATAAAACACTGTATTGAGTATCACACTGAATCAAAAGCAAAATGAAAAGCATCCAGAGAAAGAAAGTGTCAAGTAAAGAAACAGGAATTTTTAGTTCCTGATCCTAAATTCTTAGTATTAGGTTATAGACTCCTCCATCATTAACTAAGGATGGAAGAAAGGGTATTTTAAGTGTGTTTTAGGTATGAAGAGCAGCTGCTAACTAAAATGAGGCCTTGAAAATAGTAATTTCTCAATGAATATTTCTCAAAAGGCAGGTAGCGGGAGAAACAACAGCTATTAGAGGACATTTGTGGAAATAAGACATGTACTCACAAATTTTAAGGGAAGGACATTTCTGGCTAATAAAGGAACATATATAGTCGGGCCACTAAACCTTCCTAAAACAGAATGGACTACCTTATAATGTGTTAAGCGCCAGTCAAAAGAAAGATCAGAGCTGTGGTTAGAAGACAGTCTTAAGAATATGACAGACTTGAAGCAGGTTAATCAAATGGCTTCATGGTAGTTCTCCCAAGAAATTTTGTAATTCTCTTTCATAACTGGAAACTCATTGTCTTTGGCTAACTTCCTGAACATGAGTCACAATATAGCATGTAAGTACTCACTGTCTTCGTCCCTCTGAAATAGCCATGTATTGGTGGGTTAGGTGTGGTTCTCAAAAATTAACCACATACAATCTAAATCTCAAAAGAGCACGCACACGGCCCTTCCTGATGGTGCGACAGGTTAAAGCACAGCACCATGAAGCTCGCTGCAGCTGTTTCAATGAGAGTTCAATCCCCAACCAGAGATGTAACCCACATGGCATGGCAGACCTCTCCTGACCCACCTGCTGCTCCCCTCAGCAGTGTTACTTTGTCCAACTGCCTGTTATATACCCTGCTCTGCCCTCTGAGGAATCCTCCCACTGCTCCTGCACCTCTGGTCTGTACCCCTGTTCTGTATGTATGTATATATACATACATACATACACACATACACACATACATACACATACATACAAGATCAAGCACAGATTCTCTGTTACTTAAATATATAACCTTGGATAGGCTCAATTTCCCTAGATCTCAGAACAGCTCAGATTTGGGGTAACAGTCCCTAACTCTCCCAGTAATTATTTTTTTTTGTTTGTTTATTAAAACCCAGTAATTATTTTTTAAAGATTTACTTATTTATGCAAACAGAAGCTGGGGTGCAGGCCAGAGATGCAGGTGGTGAGAAGATTCACTAGAGACAGAGTGGGGAGCAGCTCAATCTGTCAGGTTTAGGAAGTATACTGCTGAAGGGAGCAGCAGGCATGACTGGAGAGGTCTGCTGCACCAAGTGGGTTACCTTCCTGGGGGGGATTTAATTTGTGCTGTAGTGGCTGCAGAAAGCTTCACAGTGCTGCGTCTTAATCCCTTGCGCCATCAGGGAGGGAAGAGGGCCCTCCTAGTAGTTCTTTCAAACATACTTTGGTGATCTGAGAAGTAACAACAACTGGTGACACTATGCTATTTAGTGGGCTAGAGACAGGGATGTTCAATGCTCCACAGTGCCTAGCGTATCATCCACTCCCCCTTTGAAAAATGCTGATTAGAAGAGTTATAAATTTCTTTTCAAGGTCATTTTGGGTGAGTTTTATCTATTAATAATTTTTAATTAGCAATAGCCCTTCTTATCTAAAACACACTGAGACATCTTTTCCTCCTGATCCAAAGTAGTTAACTATAGTAGAGTCCACAACCAAAGACTGTTTACAATTTAGGAAGACCAGAAAAGATTTACGAGAGGGTAAGAAAAGAAAAAGCAAGGTTATCAACTTATTGACAGACTTGTTTCAACCAACTTTAAATGATTAGATGCAGACAATTACCCAGGACTCCATTTACGGAGGCAACACATTTAGTTTCTACAGTTTTCAGTGTTAGTTCTCCTCTTGAACAGAACAGACATAGGTATTGAATTGGTGATTGTGCTGTCACCAAAGGTAAAATACCACTTAGAAGTCATCAGAAATATTTCCCCATTAAAAGTTAATGAAATTGGACCCTCTCGGGTGGCGCAGCGGGTTAGGATGCAGCACTGCTAGTGAGCTGCAGCCAAGTGCGATAAAATCTAAGTTCATTGCCTAAAAGTGTACTGGAGTTTATTTTTTTTTTTCCTGAGGATTAGGGATTAGAGTTTTTTAAATGTTTTCATTAGGTCTTTTACTAGAAAATAATCATATGACTATATTATATAAAAAAAGTAATTTTATAAAATACATGAAAATATTTAAACATTGAGACTCTTCATATTGCTGGCATAAAATCTTCATAAAACAGTGTTTACATTAAATAAGTCAAAGGCATGCATAATAGTCAAGGATCAATTTTTTTCGGCAGAGTAAAAGCATTTCTAATATAATCCATTAAAAACACAAAAGCCCTGCTTTTATCAAAGCCAATACATATACTAGAGAGTCTTATTGCCACTGCTATCTCTTCATGTTACAAATTACTAACACATTCTCTAAGACAAAAGAAAATGCCAAAGACAAGTAGTTTTCATATATTATGGAACAAGAACATCAGGGTTAAAATATTCAGGACAAATTACTATTTCATTCCTTGAAATTATATGGATTAACTTCATCTGGGATGGAATGACTGGTAGATAAAATTCTAAATATAATTAAAGCAGCACATATAGAAAATACAAAAGAGGCTAGTGTTTTAAACACATGAGTGATGAAAGCTGAGTTTATACAGCACACTGCATGTCTTCCATTCTAAAATGTCTAAAGACACAGGTCGACTTGACCTAAACCAACAACTGATGAATGTATGAATACAGATTTTGGGAATATAGGAAAGCAATTCCACAACCACGGAAGCAATAACCTACCATTTGTTAGTGTTTGCATGTCTCAAAGGGTCACAAAGGGGATAGTTTATATTTTTTTGGCAGAGAAAACACAATCCACTATAGAACTTCAGATTTCAAGGAAAACTCCAAATGCAGCAGCTAACAGCTTGTCTCTATTTGCTGTCACTCTAGATCAGAGAAACCCACACTTTTTTTCTTTCCTGCCCCCCTCCAGTTACACTTGAGTTCTCTGACTGAAAAGGTCTGGAACAGATTAAAAGTCGGGCCACAAAATAAAAAGCTTTGGCAAGTTGTCAAGTCTGTCTGGATACACATACACAGTGGGCCCCAAAAGGAAAACTAAAAGCAGTAAGAGGATTTATGAGACGTTTTGGGGTATATCTAATTGTATACTTGTGTGTACATAGGTTAGAGGTGGTAGGGAGGGAAAATTTTCTTTGGTACTTTCCCCAGTTTTAAAACAAAAGACCAAGCTGTGTATGTAATTAATGGCTCTACTTAAGCTTATGGCCAACTCAGTTTATTGAGGTTTTAACTGAAAATATTAAAAAAAAAAAAAAAAAAAAAAGGAGCTTTGTTCCAAACTGCAATACCTGAGAGTTAATTATTACCTTTCATAACCTTATGTTGGGGAGAAAATAACCACAGTTACATTTTTTTAAATTTCCAAAATGTGGCCAGGTTAAATTCATTTTATTGAAGATGATTTAAGGAAACACAGCTATTATCATTCCAGTCCATACCATTGGTGACCTTTATTAAATTCTCTACCTTACTTGGTTTCCTGTTTTAACCACATGGGTTTATTCAACTATTAAATAGAATCTGAAGTTGCAAATTATTAACATGCCACATTACTTTTCTAACACCCAAGCAGGTCTTAAAGTTCAAAAGGCTAGTATTTAAGCCAAATAGGGTATCTGTCAAAATGCCAGTCCCTGCCCCTTGTGCACCTTTGACTTTACTTGAAAAGGAGGGGGTGGAGGAGATTTCAATCAGTCCAGAAAACTGACCACTAGGTTGTCTGAGGTGCTAGTGGTCACATGAAGATACAAGAGAACTATTCATAATGTTCCTAACTGGGAAGTTTTTCTTTTTCCTTCCTTCCCCAGGGCTATTTTGCTGGCATTCACAGAGTTAATTCCTCTTTCCCGGAAGGGCCCCATAGTTGTTGTTGGGTCAACCCCTGGGAAGCTTCAAAGGCTCCCTTCCCCTCAGCCTGACCCACTCAGTGATCTGCACATTGTTTTCATTTAGCTGCATCCAGTCCAAGACGAAAGCTTCAAAACCACAACAGCTTCAAAACCACAACGGTCTGCTCCTTTTTAGATTCATTTTTCCATGGCTTTGGAAAAATATCTCAGAAACCCCACTGAAGAAACTGAAAATAGTGAAAAAGAGTATAAAGAGGCACTAAAAAACTTGTATATTATTATCAAAATGTGCACATTTGGGCAGGAGAGCATTCCTTTGTGGAAATGGTGATTCACCCATGGGAGCTAAAGGGGAATATGGTTTTGCTTTCTGTCTCCTAAAATGAAAAACAAAGCACTTCACTTAGAAAAGAGAGAAAAAAGCTAGAAGAGAAGGAAAAAATGCTTTCATTGGACTATCTCCAGGGTGACGGGGTTGCCCCGGCTCAGGACAGCACACACCACAGCACAGGCACAGGGGTCCCCTCTGTCCTCTGAAGCTAAGCCTAGACAGACACAGTCAGGGTCCCAGGTCTCAGATGCAGTGTGACAGTCTGATTACTCCTGCAGCCAGAAAGATCATTTTAAACTAGATCACTGTTTCTCTTCCCAAATGAAAAAGGGGAGTGATCCTCCTGGATAGTCACCCTCAAAACTTTCACCCTGCCCCACCCCAGGAGTCCAACCTTAAAAAGAGGGTCTAGACTTCAGTTGTTCTCAAGTTCAAAGTGAAAGGTATAAAATGAAATATAAAAATATCACTTGAAAAGTTGGGTGGGCATTCATTTTTCAACACTATAAAGCAATGTAATTAATTTTATAAATATAACCTTCCCAAATTCACATACAAAAAAATAGTTAAAAAAATTATCTAAAAAGGTTTTGAGATGAACCTTTACCAAAACGAGGGTCAAGTCTTGGGTCTAGCCAAGAGGTGGTCTTGTTCTTATGGTTTATATAGTAAATTTCTCCATCCTGAGTCATGGCTTGTTCCCATCCATCAGGAAGAGGACCTAAAAATACAGAAAAAAACATCATGGTTGGTTTTTATTTGGTGCACCTAAAAAATGCGGGAAGGATGCTAATTCAAAAAGAAAACACATCTTGACATAAAGTGACTCATTAAGACAGAATTAAGCATATGTTCAGAGAAGAAAGGTTAACTTACATACCTGGTTCTTCTCTAATAAAAAGAAACCACCAAATAATAAAATCTATACCCCCAAAGTCACTGATTGCAAAAAAAGAGTCAGATTTTTGAAAAATCTTCTTGGAAAGCATATAACTGTTCTACTGATAGTGCAAGACACAAAGTGCTCTAGCCATCAATTAAGAGTGAGTGCTTCCTAGGAAGTCCAAGGTTCTTAAGTAAGAATACATGTAAGTCTTTTCAGAACATCTACAGTACCATAAACATTCTGTTTAATATAAAGCATGCTTTAGCTAACTCTGCCAGGCTCCATTTATATCCATTATTTATGTGAGTGGCTCACACCAAAAAAACTTTAAAGAAGAAAACTATGGTCCAAAAGCAACTTATTTTTAAGCAGCCCAGAAATTGCAAGGAGGTGGGGGTTGTGGTTGGAATTCTAAGTTTGTCACAAGCTTGGACAGGGACAAGCTAAGTGTTGGAACTGTTGGAAGGCGAATTTCCCAGGAAAAAAAGAGAGAATAAAGTCCACTTCAAGCTTCAGGTTAAGGAAACTACACTGAGAGACAGTTTCATTTTCAAGAAACTGATTCTATCTTTAGTATGATAAAGACTCTACAGTTGCTTTTGGGAAGTAATAGCAATGAAGAGAGGTCCAGAATGAATCGTTAGATGCAAGCATATTTCCTCATCTCCCTCACTCCCCCATGTCTCTTCCATTCTTCCATTTTCCATCTCCATAAGAAGTCAGGAGAAGAAAGTATAAATTGGAAATAGGAAATAAAAGAGTGGCAACTGAGAATAGAGGCTAAGTACATGCCTAAAATGTTTCCATATGTGGACCCACAGAATTGTGTGCTTGCCATGTATGCAGGTCACTATTCTAAGTATACTACGTACATCAATTCACTTGTTCCTTATAACTACCATAGACATAAACAGTAGTATCATCTCTGGTCTAAGGAAATTGAGGCACAGAGTGGCTCAGAATGATGCTGTATCACAGGGCTAGTTACTGTCAGAGATGATACACTAATCCAGCAGCCTAATTTCTGAACCATCTTTCCTTATAACTACTTATTTTAAAATTTTATCACCCACACCTGAGACCAGAAGCTAAGTATGATTCTGTGCAAAAATGGGAACAAACTCCTTTGTTCTATGCTGGCCATCAAAGACCGCTTTCTGAATGATGCTGTGTAAGTGATGCTCGTTAAAGAGACCCACTCACACACAGGCCCTGGGATACAAAGTCCTAATTTAAGCTAAATTAATTTTTATTAGGGACAGACCGATTTATTACTGTTTAACTGTCAAAGGTCTCCTTGTTAGGAAACAGATATATGAACGGGAGTGCTGTCCCAAGAAGTATCCACCCCCATCCCATCCCATCCCATCCCATCCCA